GAAAAATACTTCACTTTTGGTTTTTAAGGTGTGGCAAAGCTGGTTTTCCTCGTAAATGTAAACACTCTAAACTTTTCAGCCATAAATTTTATAGGAGATTTTTAAATGACTAAATTTAGCTGAAAAATTAGTATATAAATGTGAAATGTGCGCTTATTTCAATGCTTAGAGTGTATATTTAAATATACATATAAAAAACGTGAAAAAATTAAATGAAACATAGAAAAATAACATGTGTTCGTTGTGCAAATTTTTGAATTTTTAAACAATATAATAAAAATATGAGTACTTTTATATTATTTTTGAATATTCCTCCTCTGGAGAAGCTCCTTCTTCATCGCATGGAACAAATGGTAGTCGTTAGTTGATACGTAAAACTCACGTATTTTTGACGGGCGCCCGTCTCTAATCATAGTGCAAATTTTTGAATTTTTAAAACTGAATATTTTAAAAAATATTAGTTATTTTTTTTTATTGTTTTTGGATATTCCTCCTCTGGAGCAGCGCCCCTATCCGTACATACCCAACTTCTAGGGAAATTCGGTTTTTTTTATCCCTCGGAAAAAGTAATCGGAATCGTACCGTGATATCTAATCCTTAAAGGATTTAATACAATATTAATATAGAACATTAGGATTGAATGTGAATCGATAATACACGACGAAATAGAGGTACGTAATGGTAGTTTACAGCACCTGAAACTAATCGAGATAAATATTGTCTTATATTAGTATGTAAGTATATCTAAATGATCAGGTTCACCCAACCATCTTAACGGTTTATTATTCATATTTCTCAACCTACTAATTACATAGCTTCGTTTACCGTGAAAAAATCTGAAATCTAATAATAATCATGACCCGTGTAATATCTAACCCTTGAAGCATTAAATATAATATTAATATAGAACATTAGGATTGAATGTGAATCGAAAAATACACGACAAAAATTTTAACCAATTTGATTTAAAAATAAACTAAACTTCATTTTAACAAAATTAAGCGAACGTTTATACGGTTTTTATAAACCAAAATTTAAAATTTTATTTTTTTTACGTTAGAGAAATAATTTTATAGTTTTAGTTAAAAGAAATATTAATCTATACAAACACATTATTTTTAGTATTTTGTCAAACCTCCTTTGCTTTTTATAACGGTTTTTATTCGCTTGGGCATTGTTCCAATACAGTTGGTCCAGGTTTCTTCAAGAATTCTATCCAACTCTGCTAAATTCGTTGGTCTCTTCTGTGCTACCTGAGCATTCATTATAAACCAAAGGTTCTCAATGGGATTGAGATACGGACTGTTACTTGATACTACAAAGTCGAGACCCCGATTTTTGATAAATAATTCTTCACCTTAAAGAAAGAAAAAAAGGATAAGTATGAAAATTCTAGTTGTACAAAAAAAAAGTTACTTACTATTTTGGCACCATGGCAGGGTGCAGAGTCATCCTGAAAAATAAAGACATCCGCCAATCAAGTTGAGTCCAATTTTGAAGTTATTTTTCCATAGTAGCCGGTTTTGACACATTTTTGAGGTTAAAAGTGGTTCAAACCAATCACTTGAAGTCTTCGGCTAACAGTTGTTGCTCTAACTTCCATACCAACATCTGCAAATAACTCTACATTAATGTCCTCAGCAGTTTTGAAGCGATCCCTTAAGCTGATGCCTTCTATAACCCGATCTCCTCTAGAACTTGTCTTCTTCTTTGCTCCAGAGCCAGTTTTTAAAGGACCTGGTCTTATCGAAATTTTTTAAAAATTCTCTGATGGTTTTTTAAAATTTCCCGAATGGTCACATTTTCTTTACGCAAAGTCAAAATATTTCTTTTTTGCAATTGCCCCTTTTTTTTTTAATTTGGTATATTTTGGTATATAAAAAATAATAAAAGTTGTTATGAAACATGTACAGAACATAAATTTATGTGAACGAATAAACCTTTCGGCAGAAAATTACACCTTTCGGTTACAATCGCGCTTTAAATAAAAACCGAAGGGTTGTCCGGATTTGAAGGAATTCATACAGTGAACTCCAATAGATTTTAGATGATATGTATGGAGACTCTGCTCCATCCGGCGGCCGTCAAAAATACGCGAGTTTTACGTAACAACTAACGACTACCATTTGTTCTATGCGATGAAGAACCAAGCCGGAGGCGTTCGGAATGGAATCCACAATTCCACGATTCCGATTCCGATTACTTTGGTGGAGGGGTAAAAAAACGGAAATTCCGTAGAAATGGGCTATGTACGGATAGGGGAGCTTCTCCAGAGGAGGAATATCCAAAAACAATATAAAAATAACTAATATTTTTTAAAATCTTCACGTTCAAAAATTCAAAAATTTGCACTAAGAACACATGTTATGTTTCACATAATTTTTTCACGTTTTTTTATGTGTATATTTCAATGTACACTCTAAGCATTGAAATAAGCGCACATTTCAAATTTATTTAGTAATTTTTCAGCTAAATTTAGTAATTTAAAAATCCCCTATAAAATTTATGGCTGAAAAGTTTAGAGTGTTTACATTTACGAGGAAAACCAGCTTTGCCACACCTTAAAAACCAAAAGTGAAGTATTTTTCAGCTTTTCACAGCGTTTTCTTTGTTTGTACTTTCGAGTGTTTCTTTTTTCTTTACGAACTATAAAAAAAAAACTATAAAGAAGGTTTTTCAAATTAAAATTGAATATGTGAACACTTTCGTACTTTCGCGTAGTACTCCTTTCTGCGTTAAAGAAAAAAAAGTATGTTGAGTTTTTGTTATAAAGTGGTTAAAGTGATAATATTTTTTGGTTATCATGCACTTATATTGAAACCAAATTTGAGTTTTCGTTATAAAATGCATAAATTTTAGTCATTATGTCTGTCAGCGATTTCCATTTATTTTTGATTATACATTGTTTTATATTTTCGGTGACGATGCATATATTTTTATACTCTCGCAACAAAGTTGCTAAAGAAAGTATTATAGTTTTGTTCACATAACGGTTATTTGTAAGTCCTAAAACTAAAAGAGTCAGATATAGGGTTATATATACCAAAGTGATCAGGAAGACGAGTAGAGTTGAAATCCGGATGTCTGTCCGTCCGTGCAAGCTGTAACTTGAGTAAAAATTGGTATATCATGATGAAAATTGGTACACGTGATTTCTTGGCTACATAAGAAGGTTAAGTTCGGAGATAGGCAAAATCGGCCCAGTGCCACGCCCACAAAATGGCGGAAACCGAAAACTTATAAAGTGTCATAACTAAGCCATAAATGAAGATACTAAAGTGAAATTTGGCACTAAGGATCGCATTAGGGAGGGGCATATTTGGACGTTTTTGGAAAAGTGGGCGTGGCCCCGCCCCCAACTAATTTTTTTGTACATGTATCGAAAAGTACTATAGCTATGGCAGCCAAACTGTATAGAGTCGTTTCTTTTAGGCATTTCCAWATACAGTTCAAAAATGGAAGAAATCGGATAATAACCACGCCCACCACAATACAAAGGTTAGGTTGAAAATCACTAAAAGTGCGTTAACCGACTAACAAAAAACGTCAGAAACACTAAATTTAACGAAGAAATGTCAGAAGGAAGCTGCATCCAAGCTTTTTTAAAAATTGAAAATGGGCGTGGCGTCGCCCACTCATGGACTAAAAACCATATCTCAGGAAGTACTCGACCGATTTCCATGAAAGTTGGTGCA